AAACTGATGCCGGCTCAACCCGCCCGAGGTGAATGCCGTTACAAGTACAAGTTAGTACTAAGACACATATTACTCAAGTTAGATTATCCTTGTAAAGCTGCCGTCCGACCTCTGGCAACGTAAACCGTGTATCTAAAAGTAAATGCACTCAAACGAGGAAAAAAGTTTTTCAGTGATACGTTAAAGACAATAAGGCAGGATTTCTCATTCACAGAACTGAGTTTGAGGTCTCAAAAGGAATTGTTAACTGTCCAAATTAAATTTTATTTGCAGACAAGTAAACTACATTCCACAAATAATATGAATGCCGCGCTAGGGGATTTGAACAGAGAATATCCTCGAAAGACAAGATGGCGGATTGAATTCTGCGGAAAAGAGAGTAGCGTTAAGCTTAAACAGTAGCAGGATATTGTTAAAAATGTAAAAAATATAATAAATGTAAACGGTGGTTGATCGTTTTCTACGTAGACTGGTCTTTTAAATTGGGTATCATTTTAGTTTATTCCTTAGACCGCATGAGTTTCAGTAGAAAATATTCAGCGTATTTCATCGTGTGGCATTTTCCGAAAAAAAAAACTAATTTATCTTAGTGGCAATGGTAAATACATTGTAATAGCATGTCATGAAGAGAACCGCAAGTTTTTAACGCTACGTACAGACTAGACTATGCACAAAAAATATATTTTCTTTTTTCACAGTCACCCATCTTTTAAAGTACGTGTTATCTCTGGCCTAAATTCACAGGCCTAAGTTCAGCCCTTGATATTCATAGACATATAATTCAATCCTGAAATAATTTACCTGACTGCATACATTGAACTTCGGTCCTTCGTACTGTTTAGAACATGCTCCTAAAAAAATCTAAGAACTTGATCATCCGTTTTTGATAAACGGCAGACATCACAAAAAGGTAATAAATAATAATGAGCACGGTGACTTTTATCATAAATAATTTACTTTTTGAGTAAACATTTAAGTTTACGGCCGACAAATACCATTAAAGTTGACAACCACAAAACATTAGAGACCACCATAATGTCTATAGGTGACAGTTATATCACCCAAATATTATGTGAGGTCTAGAGGTTTGAAGAAGGTGAGGGGAGATTTCATCTATACTACAACATATTCCCGCTGATTGGACACAATTAACTGCATTAAATAACCTACGATCAGTGGCAATAGGCCAAATTGTGGGCAGCTATGTCCAGAGCTTTCTCATTTACTATTGGTTGCGTATCACGCACACTTCTAAAACCCCCAAATATGATAGAATGCCTAGGAAATTCTAGCACGTGAACAGTTTTCTTGAATCTATAAAATTGTATATGCTCTTCCGTGCGCAGTGGATAAACACAAATGGCAGTAACGCAAACCGGTTATTAGGCAGTTGAAAACCTTGCGGTTTACCAGCGACAGTTTGGTCTACTGGCGCAAATTCACTAGACAGCAGACGTAAGGAGGAGCATTGTCAAGAGTTTTCGGATCCCTTTGTGTTTCGAGGCCGAAACATTGCCTTAATTGCTTACCCTTCAGTTGCGTAGACCTCGTGCTTCTCGTGTGCCTCATTTGAATACATCAGCTTGTCCTTGCGCACAGTCGGAACCAGGATGACGGTGAGAGCGATGAGGAGCAAGCAGAAGATAGCAAACATCACAGAAACGGCAATGAGACTTCCATCAGCAGGTGTTGCTGAAAAAATCAATGAAACGGTTAAGTATTACGGCTATATGCAACAAAACAACGTTCTAAACACTTTTCATGTAAAAAAACATACTGGTGGCTGAAATACAAAGTGGCACATAACGTGCCTATTTTCATACAAGCCGAGCTGCATATATATGCCTATTTCGTATTACCTGGAAGGCAGACATTCAAGAAATTTAATTTCAAGGAAAGGCTTCCCTTGAGGAAATGAGAAAAATTAGTAATTAAATTTTCGACTTTGGATCACCAGGTCGTCTTCGGACTTGAAAAAAATGTGCAAACAACAGTTAAAATTTCAAAGCGCTGATACAGTTATATAGTCATCTATTGTGGGCGATAATTGGTAGTTGCAATTTGCGTCAAATCGTGGTGGACATAATTAACAGGGACAATGGCAACTGTACTTTGAGTCAGCTCGGGGTCAGTCCAGGTCATTCGGTGGAGATATACGCTTTGTCTAAGGGGGATGTTCAGCAGTGTCTCGTTAATTGTCCTCAGCTGTTTATTAATATGAGCTTACGCAGATAGCAACGCACGTCGAATCAAAGTGTTGTTTGAGCAGATATTTGCCATCGAGACGGTCAGAGGCTTAGAGCAAATATCTTGAAGCAAAATAAATAATTATTCGGTATTATTCAAAAGCTGTCCAGCTTCGTATCCAACAACCTTCTGTTTTCATTTGCACTGGTGAGGTTGTGCCGAAGCCCGCATCCGTGTATGTGCGCAGTTGGATCCTGCAAGAAAGGTAATCAATGGTTTACAAAAATACATATATAACTTGATATGCCTAAAGATTCGGGGTCCAGATATGCTATAACTATACATATAGCTATCTTCGCTGTCATCACCTGATTCGAAGTAAACTAAAATTATTATTATTATTGCCTTTGCTTTTTTATATTTTTGGCAACTCTCCTATTTCATAAAAAACACTGCTATAGGCACTTTTTCAGTCAACGGAAATCTTAAAACAGCATTAAACAGATACACTAACACATTACCTCGAACGACGACCATTAGAGGACTTCTACCCACTGCTGCTCAATGTTTAATTCATCACTACATGTTACCAGTAGACTCTGCTGTTCATTTTAAGTTAAATTGCATTAAGATATAGAGAGGAGTGTTTCGCCTCTTAACGCGAAAAGAGTTTAACTCTGCGTGCACTCACAGCAGCGCTGTGCAATACTAGACGAATTTAAGTCACTAGAGGTCGCCACCTGATTGTAATTTTACCTATAAGTATACTAGTCTTTCGCAAAGCAAAGGTTTCCTTGTGTGCCTTTTTATTTTTCTTCATAAAAATACTATTTTTTTACGTTGCATGGCGTTGTTACAGTTAGTAACCAAGATATTGAATTCTATGCATTTACTTTAAATTACATATCAATGTTACAATTTTATCTTAAAGGGTTTAGGTGAAAATGTTTTAGTTACAGCTGTATCCATATATGCCTCTTTATATGTCACATTTTCTCAAAATACAAAAACATGAGCAGTGTCTTAATAATGTCCCAAAAAGTATGTACCTATGGTGTAATAGACAAAACTTATTCATACTTGCCGAGTTGTAGATAGGACTGAAAAAGTTAAACTACGGACAAATAAATTTTCACCATCTTCAAAGGGACCACTCCCACTTAAAACACTTACATGTAGGCGGTTCCAGCAATCAGTTGACCGTTATAGTTGTGGTTTTCTGCAACAACTCCGGCTCCAGACCCAAGTACTGCGTCTTGATCCGGCAACGCCGACCTCGCTCTCCTTTGTGGCATAGGAAGCCTCACCTCCCAGCTGCCGTTGATTGGATTCACGTAGGTCTGCAGAGCGAATTTGGCAAACAAGTAAATGTACTATGCTAGCCGACTTTTTGACTTCTAATTACAGTATACATTTGTGTACGAAGTGAAACCGACAAACCGACAGGGAAGACCGAAATAGCATCGCTCCTCTAGCCGAAAGCCAGCAAATTTTGCTGGCAGTCGGTTAGGCTGACAGGTCTGATGCTGTTTTTTGAGTTGCAGGATCACTTACCCCGCCAACGGGCTCCACGCTGCCCGAAATCGCTGACCAACTGCTGTTCTCCGATGCGCTGCCCAACTCAGTAGGCGTAATTACCGCGGTAACGAACTGCAGGTCTCCAAGGCTACTATCGCCGAGTTTCGAATAGGGTACTCGAATCATAAGCTGGGTGGTTGGATCGTTGGGCTGTGAGGTTGCCTTGTTTATGGTTTGTC